GCACCATAAGGTTTCCAAACCTATCATCTTTTTGGGAGCTGACTGACAGGTCTTTCTCCTGCAGTCGCTGTTGTTGTTGTTGTTATGTGCCGTCGAGTAGGACCCAACTCATAGCGACCCCGTCCTTGGGTTTCCGAGGCAGTATCACTATGGAAGTAGATTGCCCCAGCAGAGTCGCTAGGTGGGTTCAAACCACCACCATTTGTGGTCAGTAACTGAGCACTTAACCAATGGGACCGTGGGCTCCTTTTTGTCAATAATGTAGGAGCAATTATTTAACTCAGAGAACAATGATTAACAATCCACTGAAGAACTACACACACAAACACAAGGCAGGTCAAGAAGCATTCATTTATTGTGCCCACAGCTCTTCTGATACAAACTACATAGATGCTGAACCCGCTATGTGGAAGTGTCCGGGAGGTGTCAGAACATCATGCCTTCCAGCCCGTCCTCCATGAACTTCTTGTACAGGGCCATGAACTTGGCCACGAAGGCTTCCAAGTGGTAAATGGCTTTGCTGCCCAGCTGCAGACGGTGCTCATAGTAAGCGGCCATCTGGGCCACCTCCCCTTTCAGCTGCCCGTCACAATTGTGAAGGAGTTCCATGAGAAGGCCCTGCAGAGAGACAAGCGCCAACAGGAAGGGATCAACTTGGCCATGAGCATCTCTTCAGCTCTTAGTCAAAGAAGAAAGGCACATCAAGTGTGTCCCACTCAGCATTTGTAAAATCCCAGATTCTACTATGTGGGCCAGCTGTCTCCAATCAAAAGCAAAAGGAGTCACCCTTTTCTGGAATATGAAAATGAGGTGCTTATCCACCATGTTACAAACGTCTATTTGCACAAAGCTGCAAAAAAAGCCAATCAAACCCACTGCCGTAGAGTCAGATCCAACTCACAGCGACCCCTCCTTGGGTTTCCAAAGCAGTATCGCTATGGAAATAGATTGCCCAGTGTTCCTTCTGAGGAGTGGCTGATGGGTTTGAACTGCCAGCCTTCTGGTTAGCAGTCAAGTGCCTTAGGCACTAGGCCACCAGAGCTCCTGCACAAGGCTGCAACGACAGAAATAAAAGATGTTTTGAAAAACCAATCCCACTGCTGGTGAGTCGATTCTGACCTATAACGACCCTTCAGGACAAAGTAGAACCATCCCACGGGGTTTACAAGGCTGTTAATCTTTATGGAAGCAGACTACCTCATCTTTCTCCCATGGAGCGAATGGTGGGTTTGAACGGCTGACTTTTCAATGAGCTGTCAAACACTTAGTCAGTGCACCATTAGGGCTCCTTAACAGATGCTTACTGCAGCATTACTTATGACAGTAATAATCTGCAGCCAACCTCAAGTTCTGTCAGTAGGGATCATATTCAATAAATTATGACCCATTCAAATCATGGCATATCACCGTCCTGCCACTAAAGAGAGTGCTGGGAGTGTGCAATGCTACGGTATACGACAGTTCATATG